AAGTTAAAAGTAATATGTTATGAATGATCATAACATCAAAATTGAAATGTATTAATAAGTCAAGAACAAACATTCCAATTCTATTAATGAGGAACGTCAGCAAATATGTTTGTCTGTAGCTCCATGGAAGCATCGTCACGATCACCGGGATAAGTCTTCCTAACAAGTTTCATTAGGTGCAAGATAATTTTGATGATTGGTTGAATCCTAATAACAACCACGTTATCCCTATATCTCTTGTAGCTTGAATTGTATACATACACGAATTTTTATGTTAAGCTGCACAAGCGTCCAGTGTGCATGATTTGTAGGCAGTGTAGGCAAAAAGGCATAATCAATGTCGCTCCAAGGACTACTAAAGGCTTATCGTGCACTGTTAATTACATACAACTGATTAAAATATTTTTCGACAATACTTGGGTCCTTTTGGAAGTTAGGATAGATATTCTTTAACTTGGCTTGGAACAAATAGTCTGTTTATCTTCACATCTACACCGAATGTAGTCAAATGAGGTATGTAGTGGAAACAAATATTATGTCACTCAAATCAAAGATGTAAAAATATCCGGTCACAGTTCTAGTTTGTAATGCAAATGTTACAGGCCACAATCATAAATTTCACTGGTCATAATCGTAGAATAATTGAAGAACAATCCTTTCATATTCGAATAACCATGCTACCAAACAAATATTATATCACTCAAATCACGTATGTGAAAAAAAAAAAAAAAAATCTAGTCACAATTCTGGTTTGTAACGCAAATGTCATAGGCCACAATCGTAAATGTCACATGTCATAATCGTAGAATAACTGAAGGACAATCAGTTCTCATTCGAATAACCATGTTACAAATCATCGAATAATCAAATAACAATTCGGTCACAAACGGAGAAAATGGCATGCACAATTGGAGAAAAGGGCAGGTCACAATTGTAGGATGAGAATAAAACTCAGATCACAATCAAACAAAATCAAGTTACAATCAGACCACATGTAAAGAATAACTTCACCCAAAATCAATTCACCTAAAATCATAAAAAAATCCGGTCACAATCACCAATATCTTTGAACTATAATTTACCCAAAAACTAAACCCTTCCATAAAACATGTTTTAAATAAAAGAATTAACAATGAATTGATTTACCTTCTTGGAATTCGATTTTACATTGAACCGATGGTATTGGGTTTTGTTTAATTATGTTTCTTTGTTGGATTTTGTTCTTTTTCTATTATCACACCGTTAACCAGCCCCATCTTCTTTCTTCGAAAGATCAACACTCCTTGATAGAACCATCTTGATGTGGGTTTATAAGGACTTAGGGTTCAAAAGAAGCTACTATTGTGAAAAAGTATGGTTAAATTATGAAATGATAACTTATATGGAGATGTTTCACTAGGGACGAAGTCCTTCAATTTCTAATCTCCCTCAACGAACGTGGAAGAAGCAATTCAAGTATGGCCTCTCTATCAAAAAAGCCATGTTCTAAAATGCGCCGCCTACGCACGCCTAAGCTCGTATGTATCATTTAAATACGTTATCAAAAAAGTTCATGTATATCATTTAAATATTATTTTCAACACTCGATATACTCATATATGAGAGCATCTATTTTTTTGCTAATTGGATATTGGAAAGAAATATGAATGAATCTTTGAATGGTCAAGTTTTAAACATCTTATTGAAATAAATCTACATGATGTCAACATCAGTCAATATGGGGATATGACTTGTAATTTACAACAACTATATATAAGAAATTAGATGGGCATTAGGGATCAAAGTGATGATTTGTTAAGGAGTTCATTGAACTTTAATACAGAGGACAAATTGGTATTAGTTAAAGTATATAGAATTATGAATAATTAGCTATTTTAAATGGGTAATAAATATAGAACCAAAGTAGACTATTTCAAAACAACTTTTAGGTACATGAAGTCAGTCAACTTTTTATAATGCAAATTTCCAAAAGAAAATAGATTTTAAAATTGGTTGAAAGCGTGTTTTGAACATTAACCTTGAATAGATTGATGCCTAAAAATTCTCTAAAAAATCCCATACATATTTTTAGGAATGTTATGACAACTTTAATATGAATATAGAGCATTCAGTATTCTCAATTTGGTCTAAATATAGTCAGAGGAAAAATTATATAGTATAATTTTGACTATTATGATCTTGAATGTTGGCTAAAAGCTTTACATGCATTGAATAGTCAGCTTAACTTTTTTTTTTAAGCTTGAGAGCCATATTTTCTATCCAAACATTTCGTGCATGAATGACTAGCTTAAATTTTAAATTAAGTTAATCAAACATATTTTTTATTCATATAATGTTATGGTTTCAATCGAGGTACTTCTCGATCAATGCTTCTACTTTGTCATTGTTACAAGTGGCAATGAAGCTGCCCGTTGATTCATTCTCTCATAGGTGCTTAGCGACATCACTGCATTTAGAAGAAGACAAACGATTCAATCTTTAAGTGAAACATAATAGTAAACATTGATGTCCCAAGGTGGGATTCAGATGAGTAGCAAGAAGAGAGAAGCAAAAAACCTTGCAAGTGATGAGGGATCGTGCAAGGGGAAGGGGAAAGGGAGAAGCGAAATTGAGAAGAAAGCACTTCACTCTCCAATAGGGCTTGGTGCTTTTGTTTTATAAAGCCCTGAAATGGCAAAACGTAGTTCATCATATTATAACACGATGTGTATTCGATGTATAAAGTTAACTGTGGATTGTGTTGTAATGTTCACCATACACGATGAATCAAAGTATCCAATAATTCGTGATGTACTCATATCATGTGATGAAGCTTAACTTTATGTGGTCATATGATTTCTTCATTATTACATTTTCTTGATACCAAACAATTATTTCAAACATTATCTTTTGTTGTCATGAATTTGTTTTTACATTATATGTTCATCTTTCATATCATAACCAAGCACATGTCTGTCCCATGGGATTGGGATTCATGACCTATGCAAGGGCATGCACATAAACAACTAAATAATCTAATATAGAATTAGTCACATGACAAAAGTATTCTACTTTATCCTTTATGTGATTACTTGGTATGGTTATGAGAGCATGTTTGGGCGCACTTATAAGATGGCAAAAAGCGATTTTTGGACCATTGATGCGTGCAACGGTCAATTTTTCACCAAATGAACTGACTTCAATGTCAGACACTTTTTCCGCTTAAGCCCTTCCATTTGAATTTCTAGCACACATGTTGCAATAATTAGAGGGTAAATATGACTTTTGGACATGTTGCTTTGCTTTGAAGGACAAAGACTACATCATGTGGGCCCGGCTGAAACTGTCCATGAATTGATTGGCATAAGTGAAGAATTGCGCCCAAACACACCAATATTCCACATCTTACCAATCGTGTGTCTGTAGAAGATAGAAATGTTTTCCATTTATTTAGTCTAACAAACATATTTTTCAACAATTGGTATCGAAGCATAGATTTAGATCTTTTCTAGGAGATATAATATGGTCCTAATTCTTTTGATTACGTGATTATGGTCGGGCAATGCCTAAGGTTTCTTTTTTATTTAAATGAGTTGATTGGATGATTGTATTTACTTAGTAGATGGATGAATGATGAATGAATCTATTATCGATTCATGTATTGCATACGTTAATTAGTTTTCGAGCATGTAACAAGATGGATGGATTACGTCTCCGTGTTTGCCATCTTGGTTTAATTTTTGCTGCAGTTAGAATCAAAAGTGTGAGCCCTAATTTTAGAACATAGGAATTGAAGCAAATATTTAATTCTGCCATTGTATTTTTAAAAGTGTGCCAAAATGGAATGTGAGGCCAGTCCAACAACTAAAGGATGGCTGGCAGTATTGTAGATTTTAATTAGGCCAGTCCAACAACTAAAGTATCATTTTAATAATATATATATATGTATATATATATATATATATCACATCTCATTTTCCTAAAGTACATGCCTGATAACACATTATAAGTAGTTAGATTTTCGACAGGATGGATATAAAGAGGACAATGCCATTGAGCCTTCATGGACTATTTCGCCCTCGGATTCAATTGGAAATTTACAACATTGCCCTTCACCAATTTAACCCTACCATTCCATTCTCATTTCTCACAAACCATAAATTGAAGGGCAGAAATGGAAAGTTCAAAAAATCCAAAATGCAAGTAGAGGACAAAAATAAAATTTTGAAAAACTACCATTTTACCGCTTCTTAAAATCCGTCGTAAATGCTACAATTTTTTCAAACCAAATTTTTTTAAGATTACTAAACACCAAAAATGGTCTACGGAAGCATTTTCAAACGAGGCCTATCTATAGTAAAATATCTACTTACGCTACATAATGATTAAAATAATGTGTTAAACTATTTGATCTAAAAGTTTAAACTGTTAAAAATGGTAGTACATATATTGTTTAAATATTATTTTCATGCTAGAATCAATTTTTCTTATACGTGCACAATTTTATAATTAAAAAGAGTGACGACAAAACTTACATCATTGTGCTAAAAAAATGTTCATGTGTATCATTTAAATGTTTCGATGTACTCATAGTATATAAAAGAGATCATCTATTTTTTTGCAGATTGATTATTGGAAAGAAGTGTGAATGCATATTTGAATGGTCAAGTTTTAAACATCTTATTGAAACAAATCTACATGATGTCAACATCAGTCAATATGGGAATAACAACTATATATAAGAAATTAGATGGGCACTGGGGAGCAAAGTGATGGATTAGTTAAGGAGTACATTAAAATAATAATAATGATAATTCTTGCATCTATATGACCATATTATAATGATTTGCAGACACCCCAGAATATTTCTACTACAATGATCTTGAATGTTGCATTGAATAGTATTATTGATTGTTCTAGTTGGCTTAACCTTTTTTAATCTCAACAACCATTTATTCTATCCAAACATTCCGTCCATGAATGGCTAGCTTAAATTTTAAATTAAGTTGATTAAACATACTTTTTATTCTTATATATTTGTAGGACCAACAACTTATTATCCATACTTTTGCAAGGCTTAAATTTTATAAGCATTTGAATAGAAAAAAAATATTATGTGTACTTGTAAGATCGATAATTAACTTGGGTCATTTGTTTTTCACACATTTCATAGGACTCACAACTTATGCACTTAAAAGCAATATGAAACAAGCTCTTGGTCAACTTTTGTTTTGTCAATAGAAGTCATCAAAGAATGAGTTCATTGGTACTATAAAGACTCAATTCCCCTTTCTTCGAAAAGACAAAAACCTTAACAACCAAGAGCATACGTAGCAGAAACCCCTTGTGCCACCGACCCCACAACAAAAGATTGGGGTCGGTTATATGAATGTGTTTTTACCACTACACTAAGCTCATTGCTAGATCTACTTTAAAATCGATCAGAAAATCAGCCAAGCAGAGAAAACTAAAGAACCTGCAGGCGATGTCACTCACAAGCAACAAAAATGCTGGAGATGTGCAACGGCAACTTGAGGCTCCCATTCCATGGATAGGCATGTATGTTGCTGCAGCCTCTTTAGTCTGCTCCCTGGCAATGACAGCCGACGTGTTCCATGGATTCCGAACCAAAAAATTATGGTTTCCATCGAAGTACTTCTCGATGAATGCTGCCACTTTGTCGTTGTTACAAGTGGCAATGAAGCTGCCCGTTGATCTTACGACTAACATGTGGGCTGTTACCGACAGGCTTGCAAAGGTCAGCAGCCTAATTCTCGTGTCAACTGCTATGGGAAATTTCATGACTTCTTTTGGATCCATGAATGATAAAGAGATTTTGTTAAATGTAACTGCTTTAGGCATTCTTGTTATCACAGTCATTGTTAATGTTTGTATCCAAATCATCCAAACGAGACATTTTCTGGGCACTCGAGAAATGTATGCCGAGGAAATCATAGCTAGTTTCTCCATCCTCCTTTTGCTTGTTATGTTATCTGCTTCAGCTATAATGGTCCCAACCGCCAAAAGACATCTTGAAATGAAGTACCAAGAAATGCTGAAACGGGCTTCAGAGGAAGAACTCGAGCAGTCTGTGGAGTTCGAGAAAATCACAACGGATAAACTAAGAGCAATGATCAGGAAATACTGGGTGATGGCAGAAACTAGTAGCCCTCAATTCGTGATTGCACGTTCTGTAACCTGTTCGACTTCAGGTGTAATTTGTCTGCTGATTGCTTTCATTTTGGCAGAAGCTCAGGCTCGAATGGCCATAAAAGGTAGAACATTCAGTGAAACAGCTTCTAACTATGGTTCGTCAACGAGTTGGATACTACTTGCTCAATCTGCTGGAGTGATTGTCGGTACTATTGCCCCTGCATTCAGATGGTTGACTGCAGTAAATTTTGCATACTCAGAGAAAGGCCAGCTGAGCTTTAAGAATGCATTCATAATCGAGACTTACTGGACTCAGATGCTGGTGGACTGGAAGGAAAGCTCCTTACAATTGGAAATTAGAGACAGGAAGCGGAGAAAAGTTCTTCATGATGCAAAAGGACTAATTTTGAATTTTGTCATTAGAGTTCAGACGTTGATCGTTCTGTCCTGCAAGTTAGTTCAACTTATCTCTGTCTGCTTTGTGGGTCGAATCATCTTTTGTTTCCACTGCATCACAAGGTTGAAGAATAATTTCACCTCTAGTATTCATCAGTTTTCAGAATCGGAATCAGGAGTTAATACAGAACAGGATCTTATCGATTATGTTCTGCTACTTGAAGGTCAAGTCGCGCAGCCTCCAAGGACCCTTAAAAACATCTGCAACAAGGTGGATAAGGTGATCGAGATGGGTAAAAAGCAGCAACCGAAGAAGCTGGAAAACCTTTTACTTAAAATTGACAACTTCAGCAGCTTGACAGAAATTTATGATTATCAAGTACCAAGTCAACATTCTCAGGAACCTCCTAATTGCTGGTCTTTAGATCTGGTGATCTTTACAACTATAGCTATCGCACTTCCAAACATCCCAATACAGAGTACTAATTGGTTACTTACCCGCGTTAACAAAGGCCAAATCTATGTAAAACATATCGAGAAAATCCTTGATGGAAATGGGGTTCGATTAAACATCAGAAATGCAGCAGATGCCATGTGGGTAGATGTCGAACTATATAAAAAGTGGCAGCACAAAGATCTCAATGAAATGTCTCGTAAGGGCAGAAATTCCAAGGAGGTATTACAAAAACTCTCTGATTTAGCTGAAAAGACAGTAATGGAGTTTAAGACAAATGCGAAAGATTGTCGTATAAAAAACCCTCTTAATTGGCCGGTCAAGGTCATATCTGCTAATTCAATGTACAAAATCACAAGAGCTATTTTGCAGCTACACGAAGGCGAGGATCCCCTAACCGATGAGGGATTATTCAACCAATTATCCACAACGATTGCAGATGTACTGGCAGCATGTCTTACGAATTTAACTCGCATTATAACCATGAAATGTCACCAGAATTCCATTGAAGAGAGGGAGAAAAGTGTCTACAAGGCAGCTCTCCTGTTAGGTGAAACTGAAGAAATTCTCCGTATTCTTCAGCAGCGTAAAGAACAGAGTTCGAATCTGAAAACTCAGCATATATTGAAAAAGAGCATGGAAATTAGGATCTCCTAAGTTTAATTTTTGATTCCCAGTAATAGCAAAGTCCATTCCCAGTTCACATGAAAAAGCTTGTAAGATAAAGGCTGACTTCAATAATACAGTCAAGTGCCTAAAATAATTTGTAAAATTAGCTCTGCTTTATCTTCAACAACTTTAGCTTGTAAACTTAGCTCTGTTTATCTTCAGGAACATCATCAATTTTTTACTGAATTCCATTTATAACGGACAGATTCAGTAACTGGAAAAACGCACGCTGCATCTTTGAAATAATCCATGAAATAGTCAGGGCATGCTTGTCTATAACATGCTCTGTGTGAAGATTAACCACCAGCTTTGCACCAAGATACCAGGCTCAGAAACCTTCAATCAACACCACAACAAG